TTTTTAGGATGAATATGATATCATTCCTCCTCAATTTGTCATTCCCAGGATAGAAAACCACAGGATTAGCTGATTCAAAATGGCCAATACCAGTCCATTTCAGCCCATCAATACCTAGGATATCAATCTTCATGTGTTCCATTTCAGTTTTGACAATTTCCAATTTTCCTAGAGTCGTACTTCATGCATTTCATGTCTGATTATTATTGAATGATTGTAGCTGTTTCTTCTCATTTTGAGTTGTGTTCCATCAGCAAAATAAGGTTTTGAAAGCTCTGCTTCATCCACAGCATCAAGGTCCACTCAATTTTTGAGGAGACAGCTCTTCACCAGTCATATTTTGAATGCCTTCCAATTTGAGGGGCACATCTTCCAGCACTATAATCTGATGATGTTCCATTGCTATTCTTAACTTTTTCAGTGGCTAACTATTCACAAGTGGTCCATCTCTTCTTCTTCCTAGTCTGTCTTAGCCTATAAGCTCCACTGAAACTTGTCCACTACTATGGTGACCCTGCTGGATGCTCCCAGCATCATAGTAACAAACATGCCACCACAGTATTACTGACAGACAAGTGGTAGGAGTAGTGTCTGCTACATAATTAGTGCTCTATACATATTTACTGAATTAGTGAATAAACAAGGACACAGTAGTATTTTATGTGATACTTCAGGAAGGTAATATCTTAGTGCCAAATATATTCTTTTGAATCTCATTTCTAATATTTTTTCACTATGTGTCAGACCTTGAGATGAACTTCCCTAAACCTCAGAATTTCATTTTAAAAATGGGAATAATAATATTTACCTGGCATGTATTCCACATCTAACAAATGCTAGATTCCTCTCTTTCCTTTCTCCCTGCCCCATTTTTGGTTGGGAGCTAAATGTGACTGTGTTGCTGGAAAACAAACCCAAGTGAATTTGCAAGTCCTGAATTAACTGTGAAATGAAAGAGATAATGCTCTGAGGAAGACCAGAAATTGAGTGGACAACTTAGCAATATCATTCTCAACAACAAATACAGTTGTCTGTGTTTGTGTTCAAGAACTGATGGGCTGACTACTAAGGTACAAAAGGGACACCTTCTTTCTCTGTCCAGTTTCTGATTCAGGTGTCATCTGAGTGAGAAACTAGACAGAGATACTCAAGAATGGATTCATGTAGACACAGAACTATCTTGAACCATGGCTTTGCTTCAGAATAATGGTTAGTCTGGGAAACATTCCAGAGAGGTAATAAAATAAACCAAAAGGGAGTGTGGCTGGAACAAGGTCTTTCACCACCACAACCAGAAGAGAAAAACCTAAGACAGAGCCATTGCCATGCTGCAATGAGTTTTGATGACGGGTAAGACTGAGGAATTCGCACTGACCGCCTAAGACAGGCAGCGTCCCTTAAACAAACAATAAATAAGGGGGAATCTGATGCAGACCGTGCAGACCCGGTCAGGAGGTCAAGACCCTGTGGGCCCAAGCGTTGTTGACCATCCAAACCATAGGCTCTGAGGATCAGACTTTAGCCATCTAGTAGACATAGAAAACTGTCCCTCATCTGATTATTCAGTAATGCTTGTTAGTAATCTCATACATGAGCCCAAGCTAAAGAGGATAGAGAGAAACGCTGTTAACTGATGATATTTGGAGGGGATAATAATCAATGCAATGAAACAAGCTATATGAATGGTTGAATGTGAAGCTGATGATGTGCCCTGTAAACTTTCACTCAATCCAAAATAAAGACATTTAATAAAAATTTAAAAAAAAAATAAAAAAGAAGAGAAAAAGTGGAGAATAAAGATTGTGGAAGACCATGAATGTTAGGCTGAAGAGACTAGTTTAATCCTATATAATAGAAATAAGATGACATTTGTCATATAATGAAAATAATCAATGTTAAATATTCATGTTGTTGTTAAGTGCTGTAAAGTCAGTTCCAACTCATAGAGACCTTGTACAGGGTTTCCAAGGTATGGATAGTGAGTTTGAACCACTGACTTTGTGGTTCAAACTGACCTTGTGGTCCACTGCTTATCCCACAGTGCTACACCAGGATTCCAAATATTCATAGAGACTTCTAAAAGTCAAGTAGTAAACAATGTTAATGAGTCCACTGACATTTGTACAGAGAAACAAATGACAAGATTATGAATAAGAGTGAATAAGTATCCTAATCTTCCCTGGTCATCTCTGTTTGAGGCACCATGGACAAGAAGACAATTGAGCTGTAAGACACTGAAGAATTGCAAACCACAATAGAATACCTCCAAAAATGTCAACAACAGCACAAGGGAATTCTCCAAGCACCCAAAGGCTCCAACTGTGGTCTAGGATTTAATAGTAGTACCTAAGACCTCCTTATCAAGTTTCCTCTCTTAAAATTATCCCTAGTCTCTTCCTTGTGGTTTGAGTGTTTGTTGTTGTTGTTGTCAGGTGCCATCAAGTTGGAACCGACTCATAGCAACCCTATGCACAGCAGAATGAAACAATGTCCGATCCTGGGCCAACCTCACTACCACTGCCACACTTGAGTCC